TAGGGGCTTGTCACCTTAAAGAGTTCAGACCCATCAGTCTGGTTAACAGCCTCTACAAGATCATTGCTAAGGTGTTTCCAGAAGAATCAAAGAGGTGCTCCCCTTAATTATCTCCCATAATCAAGGTGCCTTTGTGATGAATAGACAAATTGTGGACCAAATCTTAATTGCAAATGAGAGTGTGGAAGATTTACAGAAGTAGAGGTGAGAAAGGGCTGGTGTGTAAGCTGGATTTGGAGAAGGCATATGATCTGTTTGATTGGTCTCTGTTGTTGGAAGTTTTAGAGTCTTTTGGTTTTGGGCAGAGGTCGTGCAAGTGGATAAAAAGGTGCATTAGGACTTGCCATTATTCTGTGTTAGTAAACGACAAGGTGGTGGATCACTTTCCAACTGTGCGGGGTATTAGGTAAGGGGACCCTCTCTCCCCTTTCCTCTTTACCCTAATTGCTGAAGTGTTAGGGAGACTTATTGAGAGGGCAGACTCCAGAAATCTGATTAGTGGTTGGAGAGTGGGGAGGGATAGGGTTCTGGCCACTCACCTACAATTTGCAGATGACACAATTCTGTTTTGTGATGGAGAGGAGATTAGATGGGTGAGCAATCTGAAGCTAGTGGTTAAGGTGTTTGAACAAATGACCAGCCTCAAAGTAAATCTTGGTAAGAGCCGTGTGATTGATATTAATATGAGTGATGGAGAGGTGGAGGAAAGGGCCCGAGTGTTAGCTTGTGAGATAGCTTAATGGCCACTGAAGTATTTAGGGCTTCCTTTAGGGGATAATCCTAGAAAAAGGAGTTTTTGGAATCTAGTGATTGATAGGTTCACTAAAAGGCTAGCTTCTTGGAAGAAGAACTACTTGTCTCTAGGGGGTAGGATAACCCTGATTAAGTCAACATTGGCAAACCTTCCAGTCTATTTCCTGTCTGTGTTCAGAATCCCTGAAGGAGTTTGTAGGGAGTTGGAAAAACTAATGAGGGACTTTTTATGGGAACCCGGGGAGGAGAAAAGGGACAATAGAGTTAGGTGGGATCTAGTTACAAGATCTAAAAGTGAAGGGGGAATGGGGTTGGGAAATCTGCAGAAGAAGAATGAAGCTCTTTTAGGGAAATGGTTATGGAGATGGTCCAAAGAAAGGGAGAATTTGTGGGCTAAAATAATCCTAAGTATTCATGGGCAAGAGGCAACTGGTTGGGATCCGGGACTATCATCTAGGGCTTGAAGAGCCTCTCCTTGGAAGTTGATTCATGCCATCCTACAGTCATTTCTTCCCTTCATCAGGTATGATCTTGGTTCTAGCTTGTCTGTAAACTTTTGGGAACACACACTTGGGTGGGGGATTTTCCCTTGAAAGAGCAGTTTCCCTCTTTGTTTGCTCTATCTAGGTTTAAAAATGAACTAGTAGCAACCTTTGCTACCTTGTCTAATTCTGCTATTAGTTGGAACTTGGGTCTTAGAAGGGCTCTCAGAGATTCTGAGTTGGAACCCATTTTGAATTTCCTCAAAATATTGGATGAGGTAGTTCTTGAACCTTCTAGTGTGGACTCTAGGGTTTGGTCTCTTGTTCCTTTGGGTATCTTCTCCTGCTCCTCCTTTTTCAAAGCACTGACACAGTCTAGTCCGGTACCTGGGTCTCCTTTTCCAGTCCGGGAAGTTTGGGGTAGCCCCATCCCTCCTAGGGTAGGTGCTTTTTGCTAGGAAGAAATCCTATAAAAGTGTAACACTTGTGACCTACTTCAAAAGAAAAGGCCTAATTGGTGTTTATCCCTGCATTGGTGCATCTTATGTAAGAAGAATGGTGAAAGCTGTTATCACTTGCTTGTTTCTTTCCCTTTTGTTTCAAATATTTGGTGTTGGTTCTTTTCTCTATTTGGTTGCAGGTGGCCCTCCCCTTCAAGTGTGCAAAGCTTGTTTAGTTCCACTTCAGTGAGGGGTTTAAAGAAGAGARGTAAAATCTTGTGGAGATGTGCTAGAGCTGCTGTTTGCTGGACGGTCTGGGAAGAAAGAAATCAAAGATTATTTCACGAAAAAGAAAAAAACAAGGAAGCCCTCATAGAACTTGTATATGTTAGGGTGGCCCACTGGGTCAAGTCTCTGAAGCTTTTTGAAGTCTATTCAGTAGGAGACATCATTAGAAACTGGGAAGAAGTGGCTCAGTCAGCTCTTATGTCTAGTGCTATTAGACCTGTTTGGACTCCACCAGACTTGGGTTTCATCAAATTGAACTTTGATGGTAGCAGTGAAGGAAATCCAGGCCTTTCAGGCATAGGTGGTATTTTCAGCCTTTCAGGGACGAAGAAGGTCAAATTATTGCTATGTTCTCAGGACCTATAGGCTGGGGGGATTCACTGAGAGCTGAAATCCTGGCAGTTCTAGAAGGAGTTAAAAGAGCTAAGCAATTGAATATTGGTAAGCTGCTGGTGGAAGGAGACTCTCAACTGACTATTAGATGGTTGCAGAAGGAAGAGGCCAGCCTGTGGAAGTTGTCAAATGAAAGAAAATCAAGCAGCTAACTCAGAACATGATTATAAGGGTTCAATGGGCCAAGAGGAGTACTAACTCCATGGCTGACACTTTGGCTAAACAGGGGGTGGGAAGAACTAATTTCTTTTTGGCTATCTTGTAATATGTGTTTTCAGTTTTGAAAGGGAGGGTTAAGACATTTTACCCCTCCAATCTGGTTGTAATTTCCATATCTCTTTTAATAAAATTACTGTTATTGATAAAAAAAAAATACATAGGAAAATTGGGTGGATGCATGCAAAGGCTTTGTAGTTCATAGATATAAACTCATTGTTTTTTTTTTTTCATTTTTTAATTTTTACATAAGCATACCATTCTGAATATAGAAGACCTTTGACAGAACCCATAAGAAGTGATCTATCGCAAGTTGAAGGGGCTGGAAGTGGTAGGGGTAGACCAAAAAGGGCATGGGTTGAAGTAGTAAGAAATTATTTAAGCGCTAATACTTTAACAATGAATATGGCATTAAACAGAATAGAGTGGTGAAACAGGATTCATGTATCCAATCCCATATAGATGGGATACGGTTTGGATGGTGATGATACCATTTCTGAATATAGTGCTTACTTTTATTTTTATTGGAAACGGTAACTTTCATTAAGGATATCAAATTACATCTTGTACTGTCAGCCACTCAAAACAAAGAGTGTTGACCCCAAACATGACATAAAAAATTACAGTACAGCCCAAAAAAAGTTTTCCCTGAAGGTCCCTTGTTTTGCCAAGCTATCTTCCACAGAATTTGCTGATCTCCTTGCCTATTTGAAAGTCACTCCAACTTCCCTTGCCAAGCAGATTATTTCCCTTATTTGCTGTCTGAACTTCCATACACCCAAACTCTTTGTTTGCATGCAGCCACCCTATTATCAATTTAGAGTCCCCTTCCACCTCCAAGTTCTGAAATTCCCATTGTTTTGCAAATCTCAGACCTTGTAGTAGAGCCAAAATTTCAGCTCTCATAGAGTCTCCCACTCCTATGGGACCAGAATATAGTGCCACCATTCTGCCCTCCCCATCCCTAAAGACTCCCCCAACTCCTGAAGGTCCAGGGTTACCCATGGAGCTTCCATCAAAATTTAAATTGACCCTTTGTTGTGGTTACTTTAAAAAAAAATATATATATATTTTTTATCCAAGTGTTGCTCACTAAATATGTTAATATTGGGTAGCTAAAGTAGGTGCATTTGCATCTGATGTACCTTTTTTGTTGTTTTTTAAGCACTGGTGCATACATTCTTTATGCAATGTATAACAATATACTTCTATTTAGCATTTCTGTGTTTGTCTTAGTGCTTCTATGATATATGTTTTTGATAGGCCCCTTTATACTGATGTTTTAATGCTGGATATAAGCAAAACAATTTACATTAGTTAGTTCTCTATAAAAGGAAAATTAGGGCCAGGCCCCCCTCTTTAATGTTTTTTAGGTAAGTGGTCTACTGTGAAAGTGATTAGTGTTTTTAGGCAATGTATTGAGACAATTCAGTGCATAGTACATGGATCTTAAGCCCCAAACTCCCTGATCTTTTGTATTTTTCAATAAATTTAATCTTAATAAATAAAAGAACATGGAACTAATGTTTGTTTGTTTTATAACTTTATGTACAAATAAACGTCCTTAACTAAGGCAAGAGAGAACCTCTAGAAAAGTTTACCTTTCATATCAAATGGTCATCACAATATCAAGGGGAAAAGACAAAAATAGAGGAGGAAAGTATTGTCTTGTATGGCTCTGTACTGCAACAATAATCCTAGCTGAATTGTATGCCCTTGACATAAGGTGAGCCTTAAAGGTGTGAAGCATGCACTTTAATTGGACTTCACATTTTGGGTGGGTCGTTGGGGTTTTGGGCTTCTTTCTTTCTCTCATTGAACTTTACTTTCTCACATGCAGGAAGGTGTAAGTCTGAAATGCCTTTTTTGTAGCACTGGTGTTGGCTACATAATCCTGTTTCAAAATTCTATTCTGTTTAATGCGATGTCCATTGTTAAATCATTGGTGCTTAAATCATTTCTTACTACTACCCATGTCCTTTTTTGGTCTACCTCTAGCCCTTCTATCCCCTTCAACTTGCAACAGCTGACCTCTTCTCACGGGTGCTGTTGATGGTCTTCTATGCACACAACCAAACCATCTTAGTCTACTTTCTCTCATTTTATCACCTTTGCTTCTAGGTTCCAATGAATGATTTTATTTTTGATCATATCATTTCTAGTTTTCCACTCATTCATCTCAGGATACACATTTCTGCAACTCATTTTTTGGACACGTTTCTTGACTGCCCAACACTCTGCTCCATACAGCATAGCTGGCCTTAAACAAGATAAATTAGAAGTGACAATGAATGCTGATATGGTGTTCTGTGGTATTTCCATTTTATTATCATGTCAGATAGATTGTTTTTGTAGAACTGGTAGTTGGAGTACTCCATGTACATCCGGGATAGCCCCTAATTTTCTTATGTTTGCTGATACTTTACAGGCACAAAGTTGTGATAGTAGAAGGAAACTATGTGCTCTTGGAAGATGGGATCTGGAAGGAAGTTTCTTCAATGTTTGATAAAAAGTGGTAATTTCCAAGTTTCTTTTGAAAGTTAATTTACAAAATCCAATTTTATGTTTGGACATGTAGAAAGTGAAGAATGGTCATTGTTGAGTGCAATGGTAAAACCTTGGGCTGACAAGCATGAGAATGGGAATTTGATTCTGAGAACAGGCACTTGGTGCCAAAAAAATAAAATGCCATAGGTCCATACCCAGTCTATCCCTCTAAAGACCCGAGATAGTGGGAACCTTCATTAATAATGGCCCTTAATATGTGGCAAGTGAAAACTTGTAGATCAAAAGTCTATCTGATCAAATAATTCTAACCATTTATGACTATTTCTTGACTGTTAACTTGTAATTTTACCTTCCAAACATATACAGTTTGATCAGATATTTATGATCACTGAAATTGGGGTGACTCTGTATCTAGATCCTCTTGAAAGGGACTTTTAACTGGATAATCTGATTTCATGAACGTTTGCAGACCCAACTGTTATTAAAGTACTATCTCAAACATAAAGAGGAGAGAGAGCAGAAACATTTAATTTTTTATGGTATTAGTTAAAATGAGTTTGTTCTGCATGCCATTTAAAACTGGGGATTTTTCTCCTTTCCTCCTGAAGGTTTATTGAAGTTGACATTGGCAAAGCAATGAACCGAGTTTTGAAGAGGCATATCTCGACAGGTAAAATCTTTGGATATTTTCTTAATGCTTGTAAGTTCCACCAGAAAATTTTCTCAATCTGAGAATTTTGCAGTTACATTTCTGCTCCTTTTATAGAAAGAAATTTGTTTCCTTCTTCTTCTTCTCTCTCTCTCTCTCTCTCCCACACACACCTCAAAAGGTATATAACCAAAGTACATTGTAGTTCTACAAGACCTTGGGGGTAGAAACTCCATGAACATCAGCAAGAAGGCGATGTTTCACACCTATTGGGTGTTTATCATATATCCATCGTCACTCTGCTTGCTTGAATGCCAAATTGGCAAAGATCAACCATACATTCTTCTCCTTTTACATGGAAAGTGGAAACAATGGGAACCTAAGCAATTTTATTAAAGGTAAAGTGAATTGTATTGACGACCATCTTAAAAGAAGCACAACAAAAGAGAAACTAAAAMACCCCTTAACCAAATTAAATAAAGAAAGAAGAAAGAAAATGGAAAAGCAAATAAAAGAATGGCGTTTGGTTTTGATCCTCTCATTCTTGTTTGTTTTCATTTACAGGAAAACCTCCAGATATTGCCAAGTGGCGGGTAAGTTTTAACTGATTTTCATGCATATGACTTTCACTATATTTTTTCGATCCTCGAGGCCTTGAATCACAAAATCGTTCTCATCTACTTCCAATCAATTGTCCAGATAGCATACAATGATCGACCCAATGCAGAGCTTATCAACAAGTCAAAGAAGAATGCAGACCTAATAATAAGGTCAGTGGACTTCTAAAGAGCCTGTCTGCTGGATTCTAATCAGAAGGAAAAAGGATTCAACATTATCCTAATTATCAATTTCATCGACTTGTCCCAACTAATGGGGATTGGCTGCACGGAATTTGTAAGAGAACAAAAAAGGAAATAAATTGTCTTGGTTGATGTATGTCGTATGCACCAAATTAATTATTTCTTGTAATTAAATCAAGGGATTCACAAAGTGTTGAGAATGTTCTTGGAAATGGAACCTGTGACTGAGCATTTGAGGTTAAGATTGATGCCTTTCATTTGGAAAGTTTGCTTGTTAGTTGATTCTAGCATAAATATTTATATAATATTGCAATGTCTTGGAAAGTGAAGCCTAAGATGGACGCAACTTATTAAGGGAAGCCTCCTTATTTATACCCAATTCCACTATTCATATGGATCATAGAATAGGGTTCTACAACTTGACGTCGAAGTAGATAGAGGCAGGTTCATTCAGATTCAGCAGTTGACGAACTAGTCTAGTAGTTTACTATGAGGTGGCCCTGGGCGTTGCCCCTGCCATTAGTATCCAGTTGACGGAAGACACCCTCGTCCAGATCTAAACCTCCGTTGCTGCACTTATCCAGTTGCCCCTGCCATTAGAATTGATATCGTATCGTATCGGTTGCAATTTGCCTCGCGACATCAACACGTGGAGTGATATGGACGTGTGATAAATGTTAATTTCAAAGCAAACTCGGGGTTGGGGATGATGAAGATGAGCATGAACAACTGGGGAACTGCCACTGGCTCTACAAGCACAAGATAGATGAGTACACAGAACAGAACACTAGAAGCAATTAATGAGGTCGTCATCCCTAAATATTAATTGATTCGTCATCACGGCTGAATCGGCTTATCCACTCCAGGAGATTAGAGATAATATCATATACTAACATGATCGCACACTGTATATCTCATACATGCAGGTTCCAGTCTCATGGTGAGATGTGTTGTCTTAGATGAAATTGGTAGAGGGTTGGAAGATGTTTTGTTGATAGACATAGGGAAATTGCGAGACCGAATGAATTAAAGAACTACAGGTGGCAAAAGTTGGTCGTTTGCCTTTGGAAGATTCCTTAAGATTGAAAGAAAAGGTAGGGAAAGACAACTTTCCCTAAACTTTCTATTTCTCTAATTTCAAATTCTAATAAACCAAACACAGCCTAATTGGCGGGGCACATTTTTCTTTTTCTTCCATGAAAACCGGAGGATACTAGGTACTGCCCACTCACCAAATGAATATGATAAACAAGACTCCGGATCTCATACCCACTTAGAACTCTATGCACACCTACCCACAAATCTGTGCATTGGAAACATCTCCTATACATAATAACATGTGAGAGCATGAGATGTGACTGCCATGTTCATAAACAGCAGCTTGATGGTGGGTGGTCCGTCCCATGTGTCTAGAGCTGACGGGGTATACTGTGTGATTGGGCCAGTAGAATTTTAGATGATTTGTACATTGTACTCGCTTTTGACAAAATTGGGTTATGTGCCATGTGTAATGTGATAAGAAGATGAAAGAAATTCCTATTTATTATTCACAATAATGAAGACAAAAGATCTGGGTTTCTTTTTAATTCTATAAGTCTGGAAATTAGAAATATTAGGTTGGATTATAGGGTATGCACTTGTTAACACAACCATTCTTTTAAAACCATAGCTTTTGAAAATCAATATTACTTGGTTTTAACGACACTGAAATCAAAGATAGTCACCATGCATGCATCTTTTCTTAAACGAGGAACGTATATATATTAACCAAGAGATCGAAGAGGATAAAATTAAGCTTGTTGTTTTAGRAAGGAGAGGTTTAGTGATGGTCTACTTTTGTTTCTCAGAATAAAGATCTCTTATGCTGTAACGCTGATGGTCTACTAATGTGCAATTCTTAAAAAAAGGAAGATTTGGGTGCATCTTTATTCATTTATTAGGGAAGATTTATCTCCTTCCTTATTTGATGACACAAAACTCCATTAGCATAGGGAGGCTCTTATCTCCTTGTTATTTATTTGGGTATATATAGTCTACTTCAGTACTCTAATTATTTATAACTAGAAAATTAATCTGGCACTTGAACTAGCTAGATCACAGCAGAAGGAGGGCGATGAGGAATGACGCTCTTTAATCGCCACAGTTGACGAACTGGTAGTTCACAATGAGATGGCCCTGGTTATAGCCATTGCCGTCAGTGTCGATCTGTTGGAAGACACCCCAGTCCAAATCCAGACCACCGTTGGAGCACTGATCAACTATCCTCACTGTTGCTTGAGCGCCGGTTCTTGTGTTTGTGACCTGCATGCATTAATTTGATCATCAGTCATTAGAATAAATTTGTGAGCATTTCATCAATATTAATTCTCTCTAGTCTCTACAAAGAAAGAAAGAAAGAAAAAAAAAGGGTTGTGTCTGTTTGTAAATCCTTACCCGCAAGCACCTGCCACAGGCGGCCTGGCCGGTGGGTCCGACGGGGCCACAGAAGGCAGTCCATCCATACTTGCTACGCCATGAGAGGGGCTTGTTAGCGTCCCATGTGGAACAGAAAGCGCTCACTGCGTTCAAGTTCCAGTTGTTCTGCTGGGGGTTGTAGTAGTGGTATGTCGCTCGCACGTTGGAAGCGCTCTGTGCTGTTGCACCTGCTACCAGCCAGATGAGTAGAAGAAACGCAATGCAAACATTAGAGCTCCTCCTCATTTTTTCTTTCTTTCTCTTCTTCTTGCTAAGATATGATGGTGTTGGATCCAACCCACAAGGCTTGAATTTATAGAGTACTTGAGTGGAGGCCCTAGCTGTATGAGAATAATTAATTACTGATGTAGCCTTTGAACAGTTGGGGAGTTTCAAATCATCCTTCCTACTTCCTGCACCTTATGACAATCTAGAATCAGCTGGGATTTGGAAGTAATTAAACGTTGATTTGATCGTTTTTATAATGGAATTTGCTCTAATTCACCAGAACTGATCGGAGTTCTATGCTTAACAATACATGCCCACATGGGAAATCCTATTCCTGGCTGAGATGATGATTAACTAGACCAATGGTGGATTGGATATATAGATTTGAAAAGTCTAGTCAATCATCACATGGGTGATGGGTGAGAGTGAGAGGGAAGAAAATTACAAGAGTGATATATACTATCTAGTCTACGTACGGATTACACATTACAGAAACCCTAATGGGGCGTTTCGAGTTCCGTGTCAAGKTGGGCTGCTGGCAGATTGGCACATGGCGACTCTGTCCTGTAATTTCCATGTGTTTGGCCATTTATTGGTTTCTTTGTTTTCTGCCCGAGAAAGATGTGAGAATTTTTTTCCAAAGGTAGATGGTGATGTCTTGGAAAATAAGGTATGAGACGTSGCGACGGCGATGAATATTTGATCGTAGTTATCGAAGCTGACATCCATCTACTTCACCTCATTTCTAGACATCCAATGGCTTGCTTGTCTTTATTGTTAAGGGGGAGGAGATCCATCATCAATTTAGACTTTTAGAGATGAAATCGTTTTTTTTTTTTTTTTTCTTCGGTTTTTAGTTTTGAGTCATGTACCAAGACACGATCTTAGACCCATATCCTATAGTCTGTGTGTTACCTACTTAACTGCATTTTACTGAAAGATGCAACTTGGACGGATCCAATGTGAGCCCAATCCGATTCAACCCGAGTTTTTGCATGAATTGGGCCTAAGATTTTGGGCTGTGGAATCTACACCTGAAAATTTAGATAATTTGTACATAATTTTCCATCACTTCTACATTTAAATTGGGCCAGAAAACCCAATAAAAGATGATTATATACAT